CAATTTATTTGATTTTTGTGAACTAAAACAAAATACCTGTGGAAGTATCCACCTTTTTCTAAAGTTTTGGGATTGAAACTAAAAATGAAATACATCCTCAATGAATGTATTTATRTACCTACCCAGGTTATATAAATTTATAAATTATAAAATATTATAAATATATAAATTTTTCAATATTTTAATAATAGTTTATAAAAATAGAGTTGGTACCGATACATATTTACTTAAATTGAAGTATTTTATTTAAAACTACCTACCATCTGCTTATATCTATTCTTATTAATAGTACTCAATCTTCTAGTGCATATTAACAATCATATTTCTTTCTTTGCTTCTTACAGTCATTCTCATTGCAAAATACGTCAGTTCCTGATTTTATGCTTAATTTGACCCTTAAATTTAAATTTTAGTAAAACTTAAGGGGCTTATTCTAGTAAAGTATACTGTACTATGATGATATAAACCGATATGAACTCTATTCCTTTTTTTTGTTTTTTAATCTTAATATTTATAGCCATTTATAACAATTTATGGCATTTATCTAATTTTCTACATTGTAGTAACAATTGCTTATCGATAAACATTTCAAAGCCTATTTCTCTCATTCAGGCATTTCTTCTCTTATGATGATGATATGATGGCAATTATTAATGTGACTGATTGAGTGTCGGTCATGTAACAGGACATTGTAGGGCAGTGATATCCAAAATTTATGAGTTTGTCAAGCTACAGATTTCTTCTCTTATAGGAAAGAGTTCAACATTAATACTTATTAGTCTATTGCATTAAAAAATAAATATATGATGTATATATCTTAAGTAAATAAAGCTATTAAAATTGACTATCCATGTGACTATGTTTTTATATTACAATTCAAATCAAACCAATTGGCATTATTTTATTCAACTAGTAAGTGATAGATAGGGATTTGGTTTAAATAAGTGTTTAAGATATGTATAGTACTTTGTTTTAATTTCTACCTAACTATATAAAGATGACAATTTCCTAATTATTGAGTGAATCAACYTGGTATGAAACTTGATATTAAGAACATTATCTATGTTTGTATGCAGGCGCATAGCTAGAAATTTCTAAGGGGGGGGGGGTGTTATTCAAAATGAATTGAAAAAATTATAAACACAAAATTGATAACTTTACCAAGGTATACAATAGTTCATTATGATAATCAAATAATCAATAATTAAGAAATTGTAAACGTTTTCTTACACGCTGCATAAAAAGATAGGTATATTAAATCGTGCATGAAACGAGTAATCAATAAAACGTCACAGAACAGTCTTAAATAGTAATTAATGCCGTACCCGGCTTTAGTGCTTTACATTATTGTTATCGTAATATAAACTAATATACTTCATTTTGATAAATAAGTGTAAATCACGATTTAAGATAATTTGCGCYTATGATGCATCTTAATCTTTATTAAAAATTATTAAGTATACCACGGCTGAGGGGAGAGGGTGTTATTACACCTGTAACACTTCCCCTGGCTACGCGCCTGTTTGTATGTGGGTTTTTTTTCTGATAATTTAATTTTTCAGTAAGTTATGTATAAATTTAAAAGGCTCATAAAGTCGTAACTCCCTTAAAAGCTAAGTTATCAAAAAATACACACATCCAAACACAGAAAATGTTCTTTTACTTCTTTTTTTTTTTATTTAAATAGAATATTTACAATCTGTAACATAAGTACCTACAATAAACAAATAGGATTTCTTTTTTTTTTTTTACAAAATATTTACATGGTGATATATAATATGAAGAAGATGGCTGTCCAGTGATAGAACCCTCATACGTCAATGATGTCAAGGGCTTAATAAATCCCTACATCAACACTTTTTTAACCGACAGGTGAAATTATTAGGTAGGTTCGCTCCGCCTTGATTGGCTATAAGAGGGTTAGAGGGTTGTTGTGGGTGGTAAATTTGGAGTGGAATTTTTGATAGTGTTTGAATGCAACTGTGCTAACAGTTTCAATTTTGAGGTTGCTGTGGAGTGAATTGTTAGAAACATACCAGGGTGCAGAAGTTAGTAAACGTAGAGTAATTGATTGAAATGCTTTATTGTTTTTGTTTAGGATGGTTTAGCGAAAATGTTCTAACCATCAAGTTTCATAATATGTCAATTTACTCTAATTTTTAAACTATTGGAACTAAGCATACATTTGGTATTTTACACATTTGTAAGACGGAGACAGCAAATATATGTGTAGCGTCCTTTTAAGCGTTGTTTTTGTCTTACACCACTTTCAGAACAAATAATTTACTCTAATTTTCAACATTGGGGGGTTGTTTTTGTTACAAAATTTGATTGACTTAGCATTCTGAGTATATTCCAAGTAATTTTTTTGATAGTATAGATAAACTTTCAAAAAATTAAAATATTTTAATGGGTTATGTCAGTTTTTGACAAAAATAATGTTGCTTTTTGGCTGTAATTTACAAAACATTTTGACATTAAGCTATTTATAGATATTTAAAATGTTCTATTTATTAAATTTATCTTTTATCTAAAGTTAAGTAGAATTTTTGTTTCTTTGACAAAATGCCTACTTTATTATATAAAGTTCTTTATAAGTTCTCGGAAGTTCTTCTCAAAGTTGTCACTAATTTATTAAGAACAATGATAAAATTATAAATTATTAAGACTTGATATTTTTATTACTTTTATATTTTCCATACACAAGTTATTTAGCCATAATTTTAAACTATGCCACAAACCTATTCAAACTACTCTATCTCGTATTCTATGGACATGATACATTGATAATGTCATAAGTTTAATAAAATCTTTATTTCAAAAATTAGTTCAACCTATGAATTAAGAGGATACCTATTTGTTTTCTCTCTCTGGCCCACACTCAACATAAACTAAACGCATTTACGCAGAATCAATTTATCTATGTTTTAAGTACCTAATCTTATAGTAAAATCACACATTACAAAAAAGATAGGGAATGACATATCGATTTATCTAAATATTGTCTCAAAACCATTTAAACATAATTTAAATTTATAAAAATAATTTGTTTTTTTTGAAAGTCGATTATAAAATCATATT